GAATATATAATCCATTTTTTTTTTGGGGAAGGATTGGATGTTTTTTTCTTTTCAGAAGTGAGAAATGAATAGGGAAAATAAGTTTTTCTTTTTTTCTGATCAGATGAAACAATATACTGGTCACTTCCTCTGTTTTCGGAAGTCTGGTGAGCGTAAACAACTACTTTCAATAGGTATATCAATTTTTACGTACACCATTAACATTAATATTTGACTCTTGTTCGCTGGCCTATTTTTAGGGTAGGGGAAAAAAAAAGTTTGGGTGAGTTTTTTGGAAGATTTGTTAACCCTTTGGGTCAATCTTTTTCAGTTTTGTAATTTTATAGCTAACTTAACTGATAAAAATAGGTGCGGAGTATGATAAAGCATAGGCTTGATGGCGCCACTTTGACACTCTATATCTCGAAAACTACTCGATGTACCCCCCTTTTTTTTTGCACGTAAACTATAAGGGCAACATGGACTAGATCATATAAAAAAAATCAGACATTTTGACCGAAACCGATTTTCTGTGTATTTCAGAGACATGAGTATGAAATGGACTGCGTGTTCCATATAGTTGCCGTACGCGGCAGTGATGGAAAGATGGTTAGGCAACCAGTCTTTCGCATTGTGGGCAAGAAGCTACACAAGCGCATTACCCACAACGAGAAATAACACATAATTTCATTTAAAGGTGACATATAATTAGTTATCCATAGTGTATCATTAAAAACTAAATACCAGACGTGCTTAAAAGTATGTGTTTTGTGCAGACCTGTGAAGCAAAAAAATAAAACAACACTTAAACGTTAGATAAAAAAACTTGTTATTCCTAAAGAATTCTTGGGCAAATTCAAAGGCACAAAATACCAGATTGTAAGGTACAAATACTTATATGTAAGCTTAAATTTAGGATTTAGATGCGGAACTGATTTTAATTCTACTGGTTCTTAAAAATTACAAGTTTTGTATACATTTGCCTAACTCTATCAGTGATTCTACTTGCTTCCTTATTCTGATAATGGAATCTAACGAGAAAATAAACACGTAAAATTGCGTTGATCAGCTGAAGTAAATGATTATTAATAGGATCTTGGTCCAATATATGATCACCAAGCTCCTTAAAATAATTGTAAATGTTCATGTCACTCATGGTCCATATTATAATTTTTTTGAGTGTAGTGTTTGGAGTGTAATGAGTACGAAAATTTTTTTCGGCTAAACTGCACAGTTTTATTACATCTTCTGATGCCTTACATAATCCCCCAAGATCTTTTCTATTCAGTAAAAGTGATGACGACTCATCCGAAAACAAAAAATTACAACAAATCGCGTGTCTAACACTAACGTATAACAAGTGCGCGCGGATTTCTGCCCCTAATGTGCAGTTAGGGTTGCCTACCATGTTTACATCACTGTTCGTGCCGTACGCCCAGTCCATTTCATACTCATGTCTCTGGTGTATTTAGTGCGTCGTACTTTGTCTACTCATTATTCCCTATGCACTTTCTATGTTGTTGACACCTTTCAGCCACAACGGTAGCCCATATGTCGGAAAACTTCACGCAAACTCCATTTTTGGTCTTTAGCTCATGTCATAAGGGCCTATCTAATTGATTTATTATAACAGTATTAAGTATATTACAATTATATTCCATGAAATTTAAGCTCTATGTTCCAACCAATAAAATACAGTGGCGACATTAACAGCTTGTAGTTGTTTCCACACCACCAAAATGGTGTGGGAACCAGGTACTCTACCTCAAGAGGTGCGTTTTTTTATTGTGGTGTCTCCAGTAGGCCTACTACACGTTTATGTATGTATTTTTTTCTTCTCATCTCCTCGGTTGGGGGGGTGCTAAATCTATGAATAGGTGACGAGATAATGGAATAAAACTGGAATTCGCTATAAAATTTCTGAGCTTTGGGACGCCACTGTGGCGTAACGGTTGCAAAATATAAAAAAATGCAACCATTCACCTTGAGGACATTGTGTGCGAGAAAATGAAAAAAAAAAGGCATTTTTTTTTTGAAATTTTACTTTTTTTGGGGTGGTTCCAGGTAGAAAATAGGGGTGCATTATACAAATGTTTCAATATCATTCTAACCTCAATAATCCCTGAAAATTTGAACAGCCTAGCATTAGCCCTTAAACGGGTTACTATTTTTAAATAAAACATATACCAAAAAATCGGCCAATTATTTATGAGTATTTGCTTTATAGTTTGTGGTGGATTCGCGTTACTGTTCAGTAAAAAAAAAAATAATTTCCAAAACATCTTTTTTCAAGGTCATTCAACTTTAGAGCGCCACCCCGACTAAAGGGTGATAGACATATACTCTCGCTGAATAAATTGTAGAGAATTTAGTCCTCTTCAATTTGCTAAGAAAGTATTTTTTGTAAAACTTAGCGAAAGCCCTACGTTTCGGAAAAACCACCAAAAAAAACACCTTTAGGGGGATGAAAGGGGATGTTCCAGGGTGAAATTTTGTTGGAAAAAGTTAGACCCATAATAAGCAGCCCCTGTCCTACCAGAAAAAAAAATAAAACAGAACTTGTGTCGAGTTTGCGAGGTTCAACTCTCTTTCCTGGCCTAATAGTGAATACTGCAAAAGATAAGGCAATAGATGTGACTATTTCACTAGAGTGTATTACACCGGTTATACAACTCACTGTACATTATTCCCATATGACACGAGAGGCTTAATAAGTGATAAGCCTGTTGGGATTATCGCGCTTGGTGGCATTTATAGCAAATTCTATTATAGACATTTTTTTTAAATTTTAAAGTTTAGTTCGTTGTATAACCTTCTGAATACCACTCGACGTTTCAGGATTACCTAATACTTTTACCTGATACTCAACGCGTTACCAGCAACATCACTCCTCCTTCGGAGTCGTGGTGTTGCTGCGTAACGCGTTTCGTGACAGGTAAAATTATTATCTGGTAATCCTGAAACCTCTTGTGGTATTACATTCGACAATAAATTCGGTATTCAGCTGATAATATTTCTACCTGGACAATACCAACAACATGGTATTTCAGCGACCATTTTTTCACATTGTCAAACTGATATTTTCAATTTGAAGGATATGTTCTGTGATTCGAAGTTCTATTTATTTTCAAAATCTTACGTGAAATAGTCATAATGAATACCACTCGAGCAAAAATTGTGTAGGCAAAATTGTTCTCAAGGTTTTATTCAAGTTTGTTGCTTTTCGGCAATTTCGCTCTGGACATTTTTGATAAAATCACTCGCCTGACGGCTCGTGATTTTGTCAAAAATGGCATTCGCGAAATTGCCAAGCAACAAACTTTCATACCTTTCGAAAATTTTGCCGATAAAATTTTTTCTCTTGTGATATTAGGTATGTATATATGAAAATTATGTAATAATTGGCCAAGATGTAGATTTGCTCATTTTATTATCTATGTTATCGAAGAATATCCCAATGTATACCTATTCAAACCAAGTATTGGAAATATCACTTCTAAATTTTATAACCGGAGCAGTTTCAACTTTCCACAAAATCAAAAATTCCTAGGTTTTATTCATGCATTTAGTGGCTGCGATACAACATCGGTATTTTTCAACATTGGGAAAAAGAAATTCATGAAATTCATAAATAAAAATATTTCAAGGTTGGAGAAAAGCATGCAAATATTTTTGCGAGACGATGCGAATGCGGAGGACATTATTGGTTCAGCTGCTGAAAACATAGTCACCGAATTATATGGGATGAAGAAAAACAGTCTAAGCAGCTGTCGCTACCAACTGTTTCTACGCCTGTCAAAAAACGCAAAGTTTTCACTAGCACAATTACCACCTACTCTTGATGCCACTAAACAGCACGGCTTGAGAACGTACCACCAACTCCAGCAGTGGAATCAAAATTTTCTAGATCCACTTGACTGGAGTTGGAAAAAGTCTTACAATGGTTTAATACCAATACAGACGATCAATCCTCCTGCCCCGCAAACTTTGCTGGAGCGAATTGCTTGTGGATGCACGAAAGGTTACCAAGCATCCTGGTGGCTGTGGGAAACTGGGAACCTGTTCCTTCCATGTTTTGCAAAGAATGTACTGGTATCAATTGCGAGAACGTTGAAATGCCAGATTTTACTGAAGAAGACATCAATAATGAAATCGATGCTGAAGTTGATATTGATTTGATTGATATTGAAAGTATTTTGAGAGAATGATGCAACATAATATAAGTATATCGGTTTTACAATGTCTTCCAATATCCAATCTCTATTATTTTTGTTGGCTCATAGGTTTTCGTCTAGACCTCAATCAGGTACAAATATTTAAAATAAATCTATAAAAAAGTTTATTCGTATGACATTATTTATATTCACTCCAACGCCACTAAATATCTACATTTTATATATCGACTTAGTAGGTACATTCACTGTAGATGTAATAAACAAAATTTTGACAGTAAATAAACACGTTGAGGACAGGCAACAACACACTCTCCAGTCGGTAGGTACCAAAAGGTGTACCAAGTGATGAACGTGGTTCGAAAGACCTCTGAGAGCCCCAGCATAAACTGTAGGTCACGTCCTGTTAGGACGTTAATGTTAATAGCAATAATAGTCTCATCGGATTTATCTGCCTCTGCCTACTGTTGAAAAAGCCTATATACATACTAGTAGATGGCTGATTTGGTCCGCGTACAAGAAATGGCAGATACGACCCAAACAAATCTTTGAGTGGCATCCAAGGGAAAGAAGAAGACCGAGAAAAAGCTGGAAAAATGAAGTCGACGAAAATGTGGAAGCCAGTGGTGGCTTGGGCTGACAGAGATGGTTGGAGATCGGGAATCGGAAGACGGACAACGTTATAGACCGATAATTTTATTATACATATTTTCGAAGGCTCTTCTAAAATACATTTCTCAAGCATTTAAAAAGTCACATACTGGAATGTTCTGAGAATGTACCAAACCTAAACATTTTATCTTGGACCAGGACTCAATAATCACATAATTCGAATAATGTAACACTTACCAGCATTTGGCATAAGATTTAGTCCAGCAATTTCCGAAATAGCGTTCCAATGTCTCGGCCTCAAATTTTTGTTACACATAATTTTCATCACAGCCAAAGAAGGTTTAAATTCCTCCAAAATATTGAGCGACATTCCGCATAGTTTTAGAGGAGCCGGCCAGTTTAGGATATCAGGATCGTCTACAGTACCTTTGAATCTACAATCCGCAAGATTATTTAAATTAAGCAAGAAGTCATTACATACCGAACAGGTAGATTTTCGTCTTGAGCTTGTCTCAACTTTTTCCTATAGGTTTTCTGAAGTTCATTGAGATCCTTGCTGAATTTTTCAACAATTTCATTGGCACTTTTATAGTCTAACAAGTCAAATTGGCCATATTGCCATACGGAAACGTGTTTTTGTACATCGAGACTCAGTTTCAGAAGATGATAAAATGGATAAACGTAATCTTTCAAATTTTCAAATTCTGCATAATGAGATTTTGGGAAACTCAGGCAAACTTCTTCATTGTTTATCCATTCGATTCTCAATTGGATTTCCTACATTTAATTTTATTATTGAATCACGTTAAAATTTTTCATTTTACCTTTATTTTACTCATGTGTAATGTAATTTTATTCAAATGATTTCTGGCGCGCTTAATGTCGTCCATTTCATCCAAAATAACCAAAATCGGATACATATCTGTTATAAGCACGTTAATATCTTCAATTACTTTTTGAAGTTTTTCTTCCGCTTCAAATTTCAACTGTTCATAGTTAATCGAGTGTTTTTCAATTATCGGTATTATATTGCTCATCCAATTCATAGCTTGAAGTAAATATCAATTCTTCTAAAAAGTTTCACATTTATAGATACCTACCAATTGAATTTAGATTCATATGATCCTCATCCAAAATTCCCAAAGTAATTATATTGCATAATGATAATAACGAGTCAATGACTCTTTGGTTTAAGGATTCTAGTTGTTCATTTCGTACCCAAGCCATAAATTTACCTAAATTGTGTCTATTAAAACAAAACTTATATTAAATGAGCATTGTTTTACCAATTTCTATCAACTCTTCTGTAGTGACAGGTTTTTGAGTGGCTCTTATCTGAATCAGCAAGAAACTATCACAAATATCATTAACTTCCCAGAAGTGTTGTAAGGATAAATTGTTGAAAATCGAATCTGCAATTGTTTGCAAACTGTCGTGTAATTTTTCTCTGTAATTTGTCAAATCCAATTGTCCTATACGAAAGTACTCGTTGTCAGGAATATAGGCTACTTTACGAATATAACTAAAATATTAGATAATATAATTATTATTAATTATTTATTTTTTCACTACTTTTTGTAATACTGTATTTTTTTACAGCCATCATCAAACAGAACGTCTATACAACAAGACAAAGTCTCAGAGTTGATGTCTGCATAGGTTTCCTGAAATTCAGATTCAAGTATTTCTAAGTACTTCAATATAGGCTCATAAAGCTTTGTAATGTTATCAACGATAGTTTTCTTGGATTTTTCAATAAACTCATCCGTAAGTCCTAAACAAACTTTTTTTGATTCGTATCCTTTAATGTGTCCCTTTTCCATTACGTTTAAATCCATGCCAACACAAATAACGCTTTCCAAAAGCTTGTCAAACATTTCTATAACTTGTTCTGCTGTAGGTGTTAAAATCAAATTTGCCTCAAAGTCTACGTATAGCTTCAAATATGGAGGTAAATCAACTGTTTCTGTAAATTTTACGAGTTCTTCAATTGTATGAGCAATACATCTACTGACGTATATAGAGAATAGGCCCGTACAAGCAGGTAAGAATTTGGAAGGACGTTTTTTGAAAATGGCATCAATTTTATCAAAAAGTGAAGATATACTTTTGTGGAAATCATGTAAAATAGCTGCCGAGGAATTAATTTTCTACAAAAAAAAAGCAATCGAATTTATTCTAAATTAAAATGTCTAGCAACCTACTTCTCTAAAAATATACTGTATGTCTTCTATATCCAAAACCTTCGGAATTTCAATTTCAAATAGCACATATGGCAAACCCAATACGCATTCTCTTAGAAACATCCTCATTATCTTATAGTGCAAAATCCATCTCATACTAAACTGTTTTCTAATACACAAAAATTTGTCGTAATTTTGAGTTTTACCCAAAAACTTATAATTTTCTATCGTAAAATCATCTTCTTTCTCTTTGATTTTTAAATTAACTCCTGCACAATGAGTAATTTTTTTGAATTCTGTTTTTGTTTCTTTGATAATATCATCAATAAGACGAGGAAACGTTTTCTCCAAGCCTCCACTGTTTATTTTACTACGAATACATTTTTCTTGGTACCTATAAGTCAAATAAAAATTATTATAAAAAACATTAAATTAAGCCTAATTTTTTTACCTAGACATATTAGTTATAGAACAATTCTCAGAAAAGGCACGAAATTCCTTACTAGTCAAAGGTCTAGTAACACTAGCAACATCTGTTTTGGCCATCCTCTTCAAAGCTCTTAGCTTTGTTTTACGAATGTTTCGACACATATATTCCGATATTCGTTCTTGTTTGCGCTTTTTGAGATCAAAAAGTGACGTAATTTGTCTGGATAGATCTACTGGTAAAGGAGCTATATCGGGATTATCTTTAATATTGGAATTTAAAAATCCACCTTTGGGATAATAACATTTGTTACTCATTGTTCTTTGAAATAAATTACACTCAAATACTCGAAATATATTCAAAACTATGAAAATATTATACTTCTTGTTGAATCGATAACGCCACAACAACTGGGTATATAAGTGAAAGCTTTTTTTATTATTGATTAAACACGCGCATTGGTTCATTTGCAAACAAAACAAAAAATTAACTTACCCTCTCATTCAAGTCTCTACTTCTCATTGTAGCTTCTTGATCCATCACTTGTCCACCATAGACGTTAAAGTTTCCAGAAAAAGTATCAGCCAGTGCGCCTCCCTAGAAAGCATACACATAGGACAACCACTTAATTCTCAGTAATATTAAACTACCATTGCAGTTCTAGGCCTAGACTCTGCATCAGCACCTATTCTCTCGTATTTCACATTCTTAGGTATTCTAGACTCCATTCGCCCTCTTAAATCTTGAGGACTAGAATACACCGTACCTTTTCCTTGAAGGGACATTGGCCCGTATTGCGCTGGCACGCTGTATTGTCCAGGCATAGCTATTTAATTCCAATCTTAATTATATATTGTCTACCATGAAATTGATATACTTACTCGGCATTTGAGGTCTCGGCTGCTGTGGTGGTCTTTATTATAAAAAAAAGCTTTCAATTTACAATGTATGTATATTTTGATAAAGGTTAAAGCCAATGACAGATTTTTTCATCAATTATTGAGTCTAGTTTTACTCTTGATGGAAGAATAGTTTTTCAGTGAAAATCCTTACCCAGCTCTGCTAGTATGTTGTCTGCGTCTCATTGAGCTTCCAGTTTGGGACGTACAGGTGGGTGGACACGATCCTTGCCCAATACTCGGTCCTAGAAACTTTCAGATGAGTTAAAAAGCCAAATTGTTCAAAGGTTAATTAATGTCACTTTCTCTGAAATGTTTTCGGAACAGAACTTGACGCATTTGAAGCAAAACCGAACTTCTTGATTTTAGTGAATTGAGAGAGAATGTGTTTGAAGAGAACTCAATTAATTTTGTGGATATGGTAAGCTTAGCCATGCCTATAAGCAGTAGCTATGAATATTTCGATCTAAGAAGGATGCAGTATAGCAGACAGCGCAGGCACTATCAATGTCGCTCGTAATCCTTTCCAAAAAATCTAGAGATAAAACTTATTCGAATAATTGTAAAAGGGTGCCAACATTCAAATACCTATACTTATGGGTTGATATCTATGGTTGATATTCGCTAGTGTGTGGGCAAAAAGTGACATATAGTCCGTCGATTTTAATCTGATACTCCAAAGGAATGTAAGCTGGTGGCTCCCTACGTTAGAAAGGTAATGATCGCTTGACGTCACACCTGTTTTTGCCATATGAAACACCCCCTCGCTCCTCACACGGAAAGTGTCAGATTAAAAACGACAAACAATACATGTATAGATATATGTCGGTGTGTGGACAAACTTCACTCTTCCTCACTATAATTTGTCATTTCAGTGTCGTGTACTACCTACTTCCAGTTCCAAAATGTCCGATTGGTTTTACAAAAGATTTTATGAGAGAATTCATCGAACTTTATAAAAGTTATCCTTGTAGATAGTTTCTCCATTCATCAGTGTATATAAGCGTAATTCTTTCAGTAAATTTATATGTGTGAAATCTGGTCGCTTCAAAAACCATTCGTTTACCCACTGACTACCTATATTATTTCATTGATGTACCCAATTCTCTTTTTTGAAGTGTGAACTTTTTATAGTTCTCAATTCAAAGCAGCGGGCAGCGAGCAATTTGAGTAATGCACAATCCAGAACGCATTGTCGTCCGCTCTTTGGGGAGAGTGGAATTCTAACTCTAACGTTGTCCCGCGTTGTTTACTTCAGAAACTGCCTGTCTAATCTGTGAAGCCAAAACGTTTAACGCTTTCCAATATGCAAACTACCCATTTCCAAAAAGTTTAGTAGATAAGAAGTTATAGGTTACGTTGAAATAAAACCACTCACAAAGTTTTAGACGAGTGTTCGAAAAAAGGACGACTCAAGAAAGATTCAAGACAATCGCACAGTTCATCAATCAACAAAATGACAACGGCTCGGCTATCACAAATTTCAATAATAAATTGTGTAATTGTTTTGAACCGTTCTAGAATCTTCCGTTTTTCGAACCAGAACAAATCTTAAAATGCGTTGCTGTTAGTCCAGGAGGCAGTGAAATTTTTTGGCACTTATTTTCCCAGTTGGTGTATATTAAATAGTTTGTTCTCTTGGTGATACAAAACAAGAATATTTGAGTTTTGCAAAAGTTTCCGGATGGGTTCACAAGATCAATGAAAAATACAAGTACACTTATTTTCCCAGTCATAATTATTTCACATTCACTACAATAGAACATAAAGTATATGAAAATAGCAATTTGGCTTATCTCAGATAGTGGAAAGTGACTAAAGTGAGTATGGCTGAAATTTTTCGGATCTTCAATTTTTCACTTGCCAGACATAATAATTATCCATACTCACAGATCAGCCGGACTATTTTTTTACGTAACTTCAGCATACTTCTCATTAGTAGACCTATTTTTATCACTGGGAAAAAAAGGGCCGTGTATTCGTAAGATCTAACGCATTTTGCCAAAGCCCTCTACAGTAATAAGCCCTGAAGCAAGAAATCTGGCAACATGTCGTGTGGGTCATATGTTTTCTATTGAGGTTAGGTTTTAAATGTGGTAATTATATTTACTTTATTTATTAATTATTATCATAGCGCCTTTGATTCATCTGTAATAGTTTAGAAGTTCAATAATTGTGCCCTGTGCACTTTTTATCAAAATTTTAACCGCTACCTAAATCATCTTTTGGTTTGTTTACTCAAATGGCTCCCGCAGGGCGTAGGGTTGCCAACCGTCCTGCATTTCGGTGGACGTCCACCATTTGGAGTTCATTGTCCAGCGTCCTGTAACAACCTATTGCAGGACGCCTATTGTACTTAATTTTCGGCTATAAACCTGGTTCTGGTTAGTAACGAAAATCATATAGATTACTTGAAAATGAAATAAATTATTTTTGACTTAGGTCGTGTTTATGTTGGAGCTGTGATACACGATAAAAGCAACGATACTAATGTATAGTATCATTAGTATCGTTGCTTTTATCGTTTATCACAGCTCCAACATAAACACGGCCTTATACTGAGTTGAAAAACTTCTGGATCATTTTGCAACTTGTATTTTTTATATTTGGGTGACGGGTCCAATGAAAGATTTTTTTCAATGCGTTTAGCTTTGTGGACTGATGCGCGTAATCGATTGTGCATTGAACACATCAAGGCAGAACTGCAAATAAAGCTTACTTAAGTATTCTTTATACTTGCAAAGAATTTCATGATTTTGTGAGAGGTAACAAGAAGTTAATGGTAGCTGCAAAAAGTTTTTAAAAAAAAACCTGAACTTAACTTTTTATATTCTTTAAATAATTTGTTAGGCTGGAGTTACCCAATTCCTTAATTATTGATATTGTCCTTAATTCTTAATTCTTAAAAAGTTCAATTTTGGTGTTTTTATAAGGATTGAGAATTAAGAACAAAAATTAAGAATTAAGGAATTGGGTAACCCCGACCTTAATGTCGAATTGTTTATTTATTACGAAGAGCGAATTTTGGTCGTGGCGCCATCTAAGACTAGGATTCAGCATGTAGGTACTTCGTACTACGTGTACTTTGCCTACAGGCACTAAACTTGAGTTGGGTTTCTTATCTTTGCTTTCCTAACCACACTGATGAGATATGATAGATCGAAACGCGTCTGTGGATGGAAAAACGAAAAAAATTGACCCAAAATTTTCAAGTGGTTCATTTAAGTTTGTAGGTAAATGGTATTTTTCTCTGCAATAATAAAAATGTCCAGAATTTATACTGTATGTCCTGATATTTTAGAACCCTCGTCCAGAAAAATTAAAAAACAAAGTTGGCAACCCTAGCAGGGCGCCGACGAACACTTTGTTTTTGTCTTTTATATCAAAATGAAATAGTATATTAAGTATCAAGAACGGTAAGTAAGATTTACTGGTCAAAGACAATGTTTGGAGACTGAGCGAAGCGAAGTCTCCAATATTGTCTGAGACCAGTAAATCTTTACCGTTTGTGATGCTTATACTATTTTTTGTACGACTTGTGGAAGAGAAAGTATACTGCGTTTATAATAATGGTTATCTATACTTATTCGGATCATACCCTAAATATCAGTGAAAATTTTCAAGATTGCTTTGTTATAAAATTGCCATGGTTCATGGTTGTCATGTATGCGTTTATTTGTTCAAGTGTTTTTGACCAATTTTTTTTAGAAACTGATACATTGTTATCAAAAGCTTCGTATTTCGCGTATATTTGTGAATTTTTGGCAAAAAAAATCAACTAACCAACAACTAATGAGTGACGAGAGTGAAAATTCGGACCTAGAAGAAGCTTGGCGAATAGGATGCTCAGCTATAATACCAGAAAAATCGAAGGAACGATATGAAAATACGTATGGACTTTTCCGGAAGTGGTTTGAGGAGAAAAGTGGAAAAAATATCGATGAAAAAATCCTGATGGCCTATTTCGTACAAAGAAATCAACAGCTAAAAGCGCCGGGCAGTTTATGGGCTGAATACTCGATGTTGAAAGCCACAATTTTTCTACATCATTCCATTGATATTTCTAAGTTTTTGACGTTAATTACATTCTTAAAAAGGAAAAATGTTGGACACAAACCAAAAAAGGCTAGCGTTTTCACAAAGGAAGAAATGTCCAGATTTTTATTAGAGGCACCAGATGATATTTTTTTAATTCAAAAGGTAAATTGGCAATAATAATTTCCATTTTATGTATTAATATTTCATATTTTATTTTCAGGTAGGAATGATATTAGGTGTGTCAGGTGCCTGCAGGAGGGAGGAACTATATAATATAACTCTAAATGATATCGAGGATCGAGATTCCTTCATTATAGTGAAAATTCCCAACACCAAAACACACATTCAGCGGTCATTTACAATTACCAATGTGGAAAATGAAACCATTCATTATTTGGAGATTATTCGAAAATACATTAGGCTTAGACCAAGCGACGTAAAATCTGCACGAATGTTTTTAAATTTTCAGAAAGGAAAATGCACTAAGCAAGTGGTAGGGAAAGGCACAATTGGTAAATGGCCCATGATAATAGCAAAATATTTAAAATTAGGAAATCCAACCGATTATACTGGTCATTCATTCAGACGTACTTCAGCTACGCTTTTGGCCAATAAAGGGGTGGATATTTTAGGATTAAAAAGACATGGTGGCTGGAAATCTTCAGCCGTAGCTGAAAGCTACGTTGAGGACTCACTGCAAAACAAAATTGAGTTTGCAGGAAAAATTTTACATGGCAATACTGATTCTTCTTCAGCAAATTCCACGTCTGTATCATGTGCAACATTTTCAGTTAATGCGAACGATCCTGACAAAGCCACATTCCCTATTACTATTAAAAATTGTGATAACTGTACGTTTAATTTTAATGTTAATAAATAAAATATTTGTGTATTCTTTTTTTTGTATAGTTTTTCATTTTTATTTCTGGATGATCTAGGATAAATTTCCGAACATGACTAATATTACTTACCGTTCTAGAACGGTAAGTAATTCACTTACCGTTCTGTCAGCCTTGCCAACCAGTAAATACAACATACCGACGTCAAAACACTGTCGGTAAATAATCAAAATAGTCAAGTCGTACAAAAATATTATATTATGCAATTTTTTTATTTATTATATGTACGTAGATGCCTCGATTATGCTGTGTTGCAGGTTACAAGTCAAACTACCGAAGTAGCTTGAAAAAAGAGGAATTACAAACAA